GTCTTGCCAAGTTGCCCAGGCGGGTCTCGAACCCACGGGCTCAGGCAATCCACTCACCTCAGCCTCCCAAAGGTGCGGGATTACAGGCTGAGTCACCAAGCCCGGCTAGGTATTTATTCTTAAACACATTTCAGTAGAATGCAAAATCCACATGGCCCCTAGAGCCCTCATCCTTTGCCAGTAATTCCCAAGCAAGCTCCTGTGGAACAAGCAAGCACTGGGAAAGAGTTGCTATTTTTGAGAAAGGCATTAAGGACCCTAAAGCCATGAAAAGAAAGCCACTTTGGGACTCCTACAAAAAAATCTTACCTGGGACTCCAAAATTTTTTATTATTTGTTAAAGATAGCTTTATCATGGTCATGACAAAGAACAAAATGGCAAAAATAGGGCATATCAATGCACTGACCTTCATATACAAGGCTCATTCAAAACAAAGTAATTTCACAGGTCATGCATTATCACAGAATAGTCCAGTCCATATGATTTTTAAAGGACTACAAGAGCTGGCACTCAGAAAGATGCTAATCTGGTTTCACCTACATAAACTTTAATGACTTTTTCCACAGGCAAGAAGAAGAATTAACAATAACCTTACAATATATTCCCAGTCCCACTGAAAAGATAATTAAAAACTTTCTCAGCAGTGAATCTTAATTCAGATAACAGTAAAGCACTGACATATTCTTTGACTGAGATATTAAGTTAGATTCTACCAAAAGACAAACACCTACCCTAGCCATTGAGTTTATTATTAACAGAATATCAATCAACAAATCACCACCTAGAAAGCAAAACCATCTGTTCTCCTGAATCTGGGGCACATGATTAAAGGTGCTAGTACTAAAGTCCTACTGGTCTAAGTGTCCAGTTCTGCTACTTTCTACCTGTGTGACTTTGCTAAGTTACCAACCCTCTCTAGACCTCAGTTTCCTCTGAGGATAACAACAGTGGGGATAACAATAATACCTACCTAATAAGACTATTATAAGAATTAAATGAGATTATACATGAAAGATTTTTAAAGAACCTGGCATAGAGCAAGCATCCAATATTAGTTAGAAAAGTAGTAGCAATTGTAGTAGTGATACTATTGTGTATGGATAATTAGCCAATAACTCCATACAAGTTTAGGGATTTTGAGTTTGGTTTGTTTGTTACTCTAAGGTCCTTAAGTAGTTTAATGACAGTCTGAGATAATAAGACCACACTCACCTGTACTGTCCATAGTTCTTCCAGCTGTGGCTCCCCTTTCTGATGCCTGACTTTCTTGTCTGTTATTTATCACAGGACAGTTCTTAATGGCATGTGTGAGTGATATAAGTTGCTCATCTGTTGTGACCATGTACTGCTGAAGTCTTGCCTAGAGAGGAAAAGAAATGAAATAACATTAACAGAAAATCAATCACCAAATCATCACCTAGAAATCAAACCATAAAAAGGATATATGTGAACGTGGTGGCTCACACCTATAATCCCAGCCCTATGGGAGGCCGAGGTGAGAGGATTGCCTTAGCCCACAGGTTCAAGACCCGCCTGGGCAGCTTGGTGAGACCTCATCTCTACAATAAATCAAAAAACTGAGCCCAGCATGGTGGTGTGTGCCTGTAATTCCAGCTACTTGGAAGGCTGAGGCAGAAGACCACCTGAGCCCAGCAGGTCAACGCAGTGGTGGCCATGAGAGTGCCACTGCACTTCAGCCTGGGCGACCAAGTGAGACTCCAACTCAAAAAAAAATAGTTAAATTGAAATGAATATTTTTGTGTGTATCCCTGGGTGTGTGTCCATGCGTGTACAATTATTTTCATACTCCAGGAATTTGAGACTTTCATTTCAATTCTAAGACAATGCTAGTTCTAATTATAAATATTCTACAAGTTCCATGATAGGGAAATGGCTAAATAAATCATGAAATACTAATACCATGCTATAACACTAAGAATTAACCTTTTTTACAGGGCTTTTAATTTATAAAACCTCTTCATATAAATAATTTCAACTGACTCTCAAGCTACCCTAAAGGACACAGATACATGAGGTAGAAGAAACTCAATAGATTATTATGCAAGCATTTAAACTGATAAACACGAACACTGTAAAGATTTACGGTAATGCATATGAAATAATGCTAAGAAAAAAGCACAAAATTCTATATGTGATATGATTAAAACTTTATATTTTACATACATGCATGGGAGAGACAATACTATATTTTATATATGTATATATACACTCATATTTGTCTATTATATATTTCACATACTGTATGCATATTCATTTTTTTTCTAAATCAGGGTCTCACTCTGTCATCCAGGCCAGAGTGCAGTGGCTGACCATGACAGCCTCGACCTCCTGGGCTCAGGAAATAGCTAGGATTACAGGTGTGCACCGCCACACCTGGCTAATTTTTTGTAGAGACGAGGTCCTGCTATGTTGCCCGGGCTGGTTTTAGACTCCTGGTCTGAAGCAATCCTCCTGCCTCAGCCTCCCAATGTGCTAGGATTACATGTGTGAGCCACTGTGCTCGGCCTCCCAATGTGCTAGGATTACAGGTATGAGCCACTGTGCTCAGCCAACTGTATATACATTTTAAAGCAGTACCTTTCTGCCAACTCTGTGTGTGTGTGTGTGTGTGTGTGTGTGTGTGTGTGTGTGTGTGTACATATATGTATATATTACATACAATGTATTTACAAAGGAATATTCCCCAAAAACCAGAATTATTTTTTGGAGGGTGGGCCCCTTGTAGTACAGACTTTCCCCTAGGTATCAGCATCAGTGTACCAGAAAGGCTGTTTGGCTTCAGTGAGATTGCAAATCGTGACACAACCTTCTCAAAACTTCCAGATAAAAACTTTGGTTGACCATTAGATCCAGAGGAACAAATTCCAAGTGTACTACAAGGGGTCTGCCCTTCAAAAGAGAATTCTGGGGGTTTTTTGGGTCCCCCTTCATATATTTCTTTATTTTTTTAAGTATTTATTTAGAATATATGTTTTATGAGGGCAAGAATTTCTATATTTTGTTTACTACTATATTTTCTGCACCTAGAATAGGCACGTTCAACCCACAGTCTGCAGGACCACATGCATCCCAGGACAGCTAGTAATTCAGCACCACAAAATCTTTTAATTTCATGTGTTTTTTAGTTTAGCTTGTTTTTCTTCATGACCCCACGCAATTTCATTTTTAAAATTCACAATCATACCTTTTTTGTGACATTGCTTTTTGGGCAGCCCATACATTTGTGAGCAGCTGTTTTCAATTATGAAGCACACTAAGAGCAAAATTCAGGCAAATATTTCTGATGAGCACCATGAAAACTCACTAAGAATGGCAACCACTTCCATCGAACCAGATGTTGATAGATTAGTTTAACAAAAACAAGGTCAAATTTCCCACTAGTTTTATATTTTTCTTATTTTTCTAAACTTTATAGTAAAAAAATTTTTTAAAAAGAAGTCTTATTACACACATGCATACATACACACACACATATACTAACTATATTATAAAATTTATGTGCAGGTCAAGACAATTCCTCTTTACTAGATGAGGCCCAGGGAAGCCAAAAGGTTATTCGATATGGCCTAGGGAATCCAAAAGGTTGGACATCTCTATACTAGACCAATGCCAGGCCCAGAGTAGGTGTTCGGTAATGATTTGCTAAATAAGTAAGTACTTTTTTTGAGTCAGGGTCTCATTCTGTTGCCCAGGCTGGAGTGCAGTGGCAAGATCATGGCTCATTGCAGCCTCGACCTTCCTGAGTTCAAGCGATCCTTTCGCCTCAATTTCCCAAGTAGCTGAGACTACAGGCACGTGCCACAGTGCCCAGTTAATTTTTTTTATTTTCTGTAGAGACAAGGTCTTACTATGTTGCCCAGACTGGTCTCAAACAATTCTTCCACCTTGGTCTCCCAAAGTGCAGGGACACTTCTATGGATACTGGTTTTCTCTTTGGGGTGAGTAAAGTGTTCTAGATCTAGATAATGGTGTTGGCAGACAACTCTGAATATATTGAAAACACTGAATTATACACTTTAAAAGGGTGGACTTTATGGCATGTGAACTATATTGTCAATTTTTAAAAATTACACATCTTTTTTTTTTTTTTTGAGTTGGAATCTCACTATCGCCCAAGCTGGAGTACAGTGGCACTCACAGCCACTGTAGCCTCCATCTGCTGGGCTCAGGCGATCCTTCTGCCTCAGTCTTCCAAGTAGCTGAACTACAGACACGCGCCACTATGCTCGACTAATTTTTTGATTTATTGTAGAGATGAGGTCTCACCAAGTTGCCCAGGCTGGTCTCAAACTCCTGGGCTCAGGCAGTCCTCTTACCTCAGTCTCCCTAAATTCTAGGATTATGTGCATGAGCCACCATCCCCAACCAGCTTACACATCTTATATCTAATGCTCATTAACACAAACACTATTTTCTAACTATTGTTTTTCTAGTCTCTTCAAACTGAAAAAGCAATAATAACCACACTAACAAAAATATGAATAAGATAGGCTGTGTGCTCTCAAACAGCACACAGTCTCATTGATAAGTATATCATAAGTATAACAAAATTTGGTAAATGCAAAAATAGTAATATCCAGACAGCATCAAAAGTCACAAAGAAAGATTGCTTAATGCAGCATGGAAGCAAAAGGTTTTCTAGAAGAGAACTGAGGAAGTATTAAAAAAAAAAAAAAAAAAGGAGAAATTGGTCAAGTGGCAAAGAGGACTTATTTAACAAGTATGAGATACTGTAAACTATAAATGGCAATTGATGTGATTGCAAGAGAGTTCCCTAAAGGCTATCTTCTGCTGTCTTGAAATTAAAAGGGGTTATTGTAAGACTCACTTCACATTTTGGATGAACTACTGCACTACTGGTAGTTATCATTTAAATGGAGATTCTGTCTACCCAGTAAATAGTAAATTTCTTAAAGACAGCAGATTTAATCTATATACTATCTATAGTCCAAGCTTCTACTATAGTACTTGCAATATAATAAATGTTTAGTAACAGCTACCACTGATGATAATAATGAGGTTGATAAGTAATCACATCAGCCCAGCTAAACCAAAGCCACAATAGAAGAGAATCCTGTACGTGTTTAAAGGCGTTTTATACTACTAAACACAAAAATATTTTGGATCACATATAAGTACCTGTGTAGTAGTATTTTCTTCTCGAAGATGAAGAATTTCAGCTGTCAGAGCATCAATGAGCTCTCGATGATCAACCAATACTTGTTCCAGTCGCTGCCTTGTCTCTACTTCTTTACGTAGCTGGAGCTCGCTCTACAAAAATAATCAAACAAACAAAAAATACACTTCCACCAAAAGTGTTGAAACCAAAAGTTTCCACTTAAAGTTGTCAAAAAAGATTTTTTACAAAAAAGCATATACTATGTGACAGTAATGACAACTGAAAACTTTTATTTAAAAGTGTATTATAAGCCGGGCTCGGTGGCTCAGCCTGTAATCCCGCGCCTTTGGGAGGCTGAGGTGAGTGGATTGCCTGAGCCCGCGGGTTCAAGACCCTCCTGGGCAGGCGAGGCCTCATCTCTACAATAAATCAAAAACTTAGCGAGGCGTGGTAGCGCACGCCTGTAATTCCGGCTACTCGGAAGGCTGAGGCGGAAGGATCACCGGAGCCCAGCAGGTCGAGGCTGCGGTGGCTGGGAGTGGCCACTGCACTCCAGTCTGGGTGACAGAGTGAGACTCCAACTCAAAAAAAAAAAAGTGTATTATATCTAATTACATAAAATGTGCTCCTTTATCCTCTTCTCTTCTTTAAATAGAATACAATGAATATAATGAATACAGAATTAAATAGTTACATTATTTGTAAAAGAAACACATTTTGTTCAACTATACACAGACCATCTTTAGAAGATACAATGGTATCTAGTAATAATAGTGGCTAAAAGTAAACACACAGGTTAGCTGGAAGTTAGGGGTCAGAGTTATATTTTTCATTGTACACCCTCTGTGTATCTTTGAATTTCATACCATGTGGCTATATCTCCAATTCAAAAATTATGTTTGGTAAAATATAACTGAAAATAAATGACTACAAGTTTGAAAGGTTTAGCTTTGTAAAGCAAGTAGCTAAAAAGTACATGCTTTTAAGCCTGTTAATACTTTCTGAGTCAAAAGCACATTCTTGAAGATTCCTGAGTTCAGGGTAAAAGAATGTTAATACTTTTAGTAGGTCTAACAGTACAATAAGTCTTCCATTAAAAAATAAGTTTTGGAAGACAGCTCCAGAGAAACGGAAACATATGAATTAGAGTGGTGAGATTTTTTTCTTCTAAATAATAGTTTCTTTAAACATTTTTGTCATAGACGTTGAACAGATTTAAGTACATAATAACTAACTATTTAGTTAGAGTTCTAAGAGATGAAATATGTAGCTAACACTAACTCTATGGCACTCGAGGACAGGTTATTCTTTGCAAACAACTTAAAAAACAATTTTTTTTTTAGTTGGAGTTTCACTCTGTTGCTCAGGCTGGAGTGCAGTGGCACACTCATGGCCACTACAGCTCGACCTGCTGGGTTCAGGCAATCCTTCTGCTTCAGCCTTCTAAGTAGCTGGAATTATAGGCACGCGCAACCACGCCTGGCTAATTTTTTGATTTATTGTAGAGACAAGGTCTTGCCAAGTTGCCTAGGCTGGTCTCGATCCCTGAGCTCAAGTAATCCTCTTGCCTTGGCCTCCCAAAGTGCTAGGATAAGAGGCTTAAGCCCTGCACCTGGCCTAAAAAACAATTTTTAAAAACTTTTTTTTTTAGAGACGAGGTCTCACTATGTTGCCCAGTCTGGTCTCGAATTCCTGGGCTCAAGCAATCCTCCTGCCTCAGCCTCCCAAAGTGCTAGGACTACAGGTGTGTGTCACTGCACCCAGCCTAGAAGTAATTATTGTTTGTTTTATAAATTATTTTTACAACAATAAAGCACCCCCCACTTAGGCAATGAAGTCATAGTCCAGTTACCAGACATACAGAGAATATGACGAATTTTCCTATCTACCAAGTCTACAGACTACAGGCAATGCCACTCTCCAAACTGAACTAACATGGGAGTAGGAAGCAGAAAACAGTAACTGAAAGAGGATACAGTTAAAAATTCCATTTAATCTACAACTGCCAAACAGTAATATTTATATTAGCATGATATAATTTATAGCAGATTTACCTTACTAAGTATAATTTGCTAAAGTCATATTAAAATCATTTATTTGAATATGTATCCACTAATGGTAGATCAAGAGGATAAACCTTTACTGCTGATAACCTAAAACTGAGGTATTCCTTAAAAAGCTATTCAAATTAGACAACACTTTTTTTTGGAGATTGCAATTAAATTTAGTGCAGAGGCACTGCAGAGGAATCCCCCCCCCACACACACACACACACACACACATTTCTGACTGAAGAGAAGACTCTAACAACCTCATGCTCTTACCTCTTTAAGGTACCGAACCAGGCGACAGAGGGAGCTCACCAGTGACAAAGTGAAGCCAGTAAGACCCTGAGTGTTCTGCAGTCCCTTGACCTCACGTCCTGTCCATTGCTCATATTCTCCTATTTCGTGTTCCACTTCATGTATCATGAGTTTGAGGACATCCAGGTTGGAATTCTTGCTACCTGGTAAATCTGCAGAGGTTGTGCTACTTGATAACACAGTTTTCTTCTGCTTGGAAGGAGCACGCAAATCCGGTTTTCGTTTCACTGATAATAACAGAAATCATTCCATTTCAAGACCAAGAAAAATTATAACTAGAAAACTACTATAAAAACCTTTTGACTGTTGTTCATAAAAGATTTTTATAGAGGTATCACCACTTTTTTCATAGAATCTATACTTTAAACCAGATTTATACTATTAGTAATGAATGACAACATCTTTCCAGAGTTATGTGTAATAGATAGGCAGCATTTCTTCTACCATTCAATAAACTCTTACTCAATTGGATTCAACTGGATGAGATTAAGGAAAAAAACACTTAGTAAGAAATTAACATAGCTGTATCAAGTTATATGTTTCATAATTCATCTTTGTAAATTAGGGGACTGAACCTTTATTTAACAGCTGTTTTTGCTTCCTTGAGTTCAGCACTTGTCCCACAACACAGCTGGAGTCTTGAGTCTCAGTAGATTCTTCAGGCTGAATCCTGGTTTGGAGTCTCTTGACAGCACCAGTTGCATTCAGAGCAGCTAAAAGGAAGAACATTTCCAAAAGTACCTCAAGTAAACAAAGGTTTTTAAAGTATTTCAATGGACAGATTCATCAGCATTTTAGTCAATTATGCTAAGGCTGTAAAAACTCAAATAACATTTCTTTAAAAAGTACTGTTCAAGAAAGAACCTTAAAATGCAGGCTACTAGAAATAATGCAAAGGGGAATCAAACCTCTATGTTCCTCTGATGAAAGAGCAGATGATGGAGATCCTGGAAGCGTTATTTGTGACTCTGCTGCTATTTTTTGCTGAATATCAGTCCACAGTTTACTAATTAACTCGGAATTCTCTTCCTTTAGTTGGTGGAGAAATCTATAAATTATGTAACAATAAACTATCTTAGAATTAATAAGTGCTATCACACTATTCAACTACTTACATGCTTACATGTTTGATTTGAAGGAACTTTTAGTAATACCCATCCTCTTCATTTTAGAAAGAATCATTCCATCCGCCTCCCCGTTCCTTCCTATCTTGGCTCCTGATGAAGGAGCATTTGCCCTTTCTACAGTTTTGTGGTATGGCTCCATTCTTTCTCTTTCCTCTGGAGTAAAGTAATCAATCATATATGGTTTAGCCCTTTTCGGTTTCTCTCCTACTAACGAGCCTGTCTATAGAGCAGGCAGTCTCTGCTCATCACTGATGCAAATTTACTGAAGCAGACTCTGCCCCTGCGTGTCCAGGAGGGGGTAGAGGGAGTGAGAAAGGAGCTACCGTTTAAAGGTTAGGAGTTACAAGCCATTTGTTTACAGAGCTAAGCTCTATGCTATAAATATCTTCATCACTGATAAAGCTGAGTTTTAAAACTTTAACAGTCTGATCCATTTGTCTACTCCTCACTTGGATTGAGACATAAAAGAGGGAGAAGCCAAAAGGTAAAAACAACCCAAATGTCCACCAGCTGATGAATGGATATGTAAAATGTGATGTAGTCATACAATGAAATACTATTTGGCTATAAAAAAGAATTAAGCACTGACCTATGTTACAACATGGATGAATCTTAAAAATGTAATGCTAAGCGAAAGACACCAAACACAAAAGACAGCATGTTGCATGATTTATACACTATATACAAAATGTCCAGAATAGGCAAATCTATAGAAACAGAAAGTATATTAGCAGTTGCCTAAGGCTGAAGGGCTTGGGAGGAAGTGAGGTTTGATAACTGACGAGTATGGAGTTTCTTTTTAGGGTGATTAAAAATATTTTAAAATGTACCAGGTGCATTGGCTCAAGCCTGTAATCCTGGCACTTTGTGAGGCGGAGGCAAGAGGATTGCCTGAGCTCAGGGGTTCGAGAACAGCCTGAGCAACATGGCGAGACCTCGTCTCTACAATAAATCAAAAAAAAAAAAATCAGTCAGGCATGGTGGCACATACCTGTGGTTTCAGCTACTTGGAAGGCTGAGGCAGAAGGGTCATCACAGCCCAGTAGGTCAAGGCTGCGGTGGCCATGAGTGTGCCATTGCACTCAGACCCTGGGTGACAGGGCGAGACTCCGGGTCAAAAATAAACAAACAAAAAAAATATTTTTAAACTGATTGTAGTAATGATTGTATGACTCTGTGAATATACCAAAAACCATTAAACATTATATTTTAAATGACTGAACTATGGAGGGTATAAACTATAAATCAATAAAGCTGTTACAAGAAAAAAAGAGGAAGGGAAAATCTTATTTAGTGGCCACAAACCTCAGCCTATAGGAATTGCTTTCAAGCTACCCATGGACAGCACATTATAACACTAGTTGCTAAAAAGCATACTTAGCAAAAGGTCCATGATATAGTTCATTCAAAGGGGACTAGTTATCAAAGCACCATAAAGACCCTTTGTAAGACAGTGTTAGTTGTAAGTCCAACCTTCAGGATAAACCCCCCAAAAAGTGTTCTCTACAGAACACTCCACCCAACAGTCATGGATTATACATTCTACTCATCACCTCATGGGACGTAGTCCAAGATCGACCACATCCTCAGCCACAAATCAAGTATAAACAAATTTCACAAGATCAAAATACTGTCATGCACTCTCTCAGACCACAGTGGAATAAAAATAAATATCAACACCAACAAGGTTCCCCCCAAACCCACAAAGACATGGATACTAAACAGCATGATCCTGAACAACTCCTGGATCAACATGGAAATCAAAGAAGAAATTAAAAGAAACAAATGAAAATGAAGAAACATCTTACCAAAACCTCTGGGATGCCATGAAATCAGTACTAAGAGGGGAATTCATATCTCTACGAACACATATGAAGAAAATAGTAAGATCACAAGTTAATAGCCTAACAAGTCAACTAAGGAAGCTGGAGAAACAAGACCACCAAAACCCTAACTTCAGCAGAAGAATCCAGATCACCAAAATAAAAGCCCAAATACGGGACATAGAAGATAAAAATATCATAGAAAAAAATCAATGAAACAAAAAGCTAGTTCTTTGAAAGGATAAACAAGATTGATGGACCCTTAGCAAGACTGACAAAGAAAAAGAGAGGAAGACGCCCAAATAAATACACTCAAAAACACAAAAGATGAAGTCACAACTGACCCTGAAGGAATACAAAAGATTATCAGAGATTACTATGTACACTTGTACGGAATCCAAGTTGAAAACCTAAGTGAAATAGAGGATTTTCTGACAACATACAACTTCCCAAGATTGAAACAAGAAGAAATTGAGACCATAAATAGACCAACAACAACTCAGGAAACTGACTTCGTCATAAGAAAACTACCCACAAAAAGAAAGCCCGGGACCAGATAGTTTTCCAGCAGAATTCTATAAAACATACAAGGAGGATCTGATATCAATCCTATTGAAAGTATTCCAGGCAATCAAGAAAGGTGGAACTCTCCCCAAATCATTTTATGAAGCTAACATCACACCAATACCCAAAATCAGGTAAAGATTCAACAAAGAAAGAAAACCACAGGCCAATATCCTTGATGAACATAGATGCAGAAATTCTCAACAAGTTTCTAGCAAACTGGATCCAACAACACATTTCAAAAATTACCCACCATGACCAAGTAGGCTTCATCCCCTGGATGCAGGGCTGGTTCAACATCCACAAGACCATAAATGTAATTAAATACATCAACAGATGTAAAAACAAGAATCATATGATTATATCATTAGATGCAGAAAACCTTTTGATAAAACCCAGCATCCTTTCTTGATAAAAACCCTTAAACACCTAGGCATGGATGGAACATACCTCAAAATAGTAAGAGCCATCTATGATAAACCCACAGCCAACATACTGCTAAATAGACAGAAATTGGAGGTATTTCCCCTGAAAACCAGAACAAAATAAGGCCGCCCACTCTCACCCCTCCCGTTCAACATTGTGTTGGAAGTCCTAGCTAGAGCAATTAGACAAGAGAAGGAAATCAAGGGTATCCAAATAAGAAAAGAGGAGGTTAAGTTATCCCTCTTTGCAGATAACATGATCCTATATCTTGAAAACCCAAGAGAATCTGTCAAAAAAAACCTCCTTGCACTGATAAAGGACTTTGGCAAAGTCTCAGGGTATAAAATAAAGTGCAAAAGACAGTTGCATTCCTATACGCCAACAATAAACAGACAGAAGCCCAAATAAAAAGCGCAATCCATTCACAACAGTCACACACACACACAAAAAAAACCCTTAGCATTATCCTAACCAAAGAAGCGAGAGACATTTACAATGAAAACTACAAAACACTGCTCAAAGAAATCCAAGAAGACACAAACAAATGGAAAAAATACTCCATGCTCATGGATTGGAAGAATTAACATTATTAATATGTCCATCCCACCAAAGGCAATCTACAGATTTAATGCAATACCCACTAAATCACCAACATCATTCTTCTCAGACCTGGAAATGACAATACAGAAATTCATACGGAAACATAAACAACCACGATTAGCCAAACAATCTTTAGCAAAAGAAAAAAGCAGGAGCTATCACACTTCCAAACTTTAAACTTTACTATGAGGCTACAATAATCCAAACAACCTAGTATTGGTACAAGAACATGCATATGAACCAATGGAACAGGATAGAGATTCTGGGAAGCAAAAGCTCAATTTCTGAACCAACTCATTTTTGACAAGGCCTCCACCACCAACCACTGGGGAGAGGAGAACCTATTCAATAAATGGTGCTGGGCAAACTGACTGACCACATGCAGAAGAATGAAACAGGACCCCTTCCTATCACCATACACAAAAATCAACTCTAGATAGATCAGAGACCTAAATGTAAAACCTCAAACTATAAGAACCTTAGAAAATGCAGGAGA